CCCTCCTCCTTTTGCCTGTAGACACAGAAATCTCAGTCATCGAGCTTGCTGGTGATGGAGACCGCTTATTCACTTGATGGGCTGACTGATTAATCAGTGCCAGTCTTGAGCGCTGCTATGGTGCTTGGTGGGGGAAGGGGGTATGCACTGGGGTCCCATGTAGGTGAGGAGGGCCATTGAGGGACAAGCAGGGAGACAGGACTGGAGACCTGGAGGAGCACTAGGGTGGAGCCAACGCGCTGATGGGAGCTGTCCAGCAGCTCAGAGCTCCTGAAGGCGATCAGCAAGAGCAGTAGCGCGACGCCCATCCAGCTAGCGGAGCTCCTTCCTAGAGCCGGCTAATCGGTGCCTAGCCGGGCTGGAGCTGCAAATTAGACACAGGAGCTCGGAGACTAGAGATAGCAATTTGTGGCTCTGTTGTGACACATCGGAATTAAAGGGTGAGCCGGGAGCTGGATGGTAATTGGATTTTTCTGCTGCACGATCCGTCACAAAATAAACCAGCGCTGTTCATGTTAGGGAGAAAAAACCTTTTCACTACATTAGTCAGATAGCCCAGAGATGCCCATAGAGCTGTCCCCGCACTGTGGGTTGGAGGTGAGGAGAGCCACAGGTACCAGCTAATGGTGACTGAGCCTGGTCCAGGGAAAGTGTTACCTACACAACCTGGTGTCGTCCGTGTGTCATTACAAAGGTAAAAGGATCACAGGATTCATGGATTTTCACTTCACTCACCCCAGTTTACTGGAATGGGTTACACATCTAAAACTACACTACACCTCTCTATTTCTTGGTCTGTCTTCTCTCTTTTTTCTACCACCCTCCCTTTCCCGTCCCATCTGATTTCTTCTTTCTCCCCTTCTCTGTCTATCTTTTTCTCCCTCCCTTCTCTCTATCTTTATTTCCTACTTTATCTCCCTCTTCCTTCCTTCCTTCCTTCCTTCCCTATCTTGCCCTCTTTCCTTTTCCCCTCTTTTCTATTTCACCCTCTCTCTCATACACGTTTTCTTTTTCCCCTTCCTTCCATGTTTCCCTCAGACCCCTCTTCTTCTTTCTTTCTTTCTTTCTTTCTTTCTTTCTTTCTTTCTTTCTTTCTTTCTTTCTTTCTTTCTTTCTTTCTTTCTTTCTTTCTTTCTTTCTTTCTTTCCCTTCCCTATCTCCCATTCTTAATTTCTATGCCCTCCCTATCTCCTATCTCCCTCCTTTTTCTCTCTCACTTTATCAACCATTTTTTAGATATTTCTATATCATTCTCTATTTTTCCCCTCAATTCTATATCTCCCCCTCTCCTCTCCATCCTCTCTCTTTCTCTCTCTCTCTCTCTCTCTCTCTCCCCACTGCCTTCTTTATCTTCCCTCCTCATTTCTCTGTCTCCCTTTCCTTCACTCTCTCTCTCTCTCTCTCTCTCTCTCTCTCTCTCTCTCTCTCTCTCTCTCTCTCTCTCCCTCCCTCTCCCTCTCTCTCTCTCCCTTCTTATCTCACCTTCTCCGCCCTACCTTTGCTCTCTCTTCCCCGTTGCATTTCCTTTCATATCCCCTTTCTCTCTCCTTTTCTATTTTTTTCCTTCCTCTCTTACAATCCATCACTTCCTCTTTGTGCCCATAGACATAAAACAGCTCAATAGATCGTCCCTTAGGCCCCATTAACACTGAGTGACATGTACCTGGAGCGGATTTCTGCGCGATCGATATAGCGCGACTTTTCGGCCGACGATCGCACCTCCTTCACTATTGGGCTGCATGTAAATGGAGCAAAATCGCGCTACATTCGCGGCAAAAAAGGTCCTGCACAAGTGACGAGCTACAGGCGACATTGAGCTGTAGAATAGAACTGCTCCATTAAAAATCATTGGACGAGTGAGTTCCCGCGATATCGCGTGGCAATATGGGCGATTTTCGAGCGGAAATCCGTTCAGTGTGAATGGGGCCTTAGTGCCATATCACACAGCTTACTCCCCTTAGCATTTTTGTTGCTAGAAATCAATGAATTGCCGTCAATGAATGGTCTGTGTTGCAACAATATCAGCAATTTGTAGCTCAGTTTTTCTTAAGCATGTAAGCTAGCTACAGTATAGCCACCTTCATTTGATACTCATGCTATGCAATGCAGCTGCTAGTGATAAACCAGTGATTGGCGACTGTATAGAGTACTATGTGAAGTGAACTATTGTGAGGAAAATCATACTTTTGCACACAAAAAAAACATTACATTTCCTGGTAGAGAAAAGCATATGCATTTTATAGTCTTATTCAATTATGATAAACATAATTTATAATGGTTTGGGGTCAATTCAGTTATGTTAAGCTTATGTGTTTTAAACCATTTGTTTGTTTTTAATATGCATGTAACATTTGTGTTTCACAAACATTTCATAAAGGACAAAGGATTCTCAGAGTGCTGTGGGTTATCTAAGGAGACAGCACAGCAGTAATCAGAAGACTTGCTGTCATTTAAACCTCAGACTGAGCTGTCTGATAATGGGAATCTTCAGTACATTGATTCATTCAGCTCTGTTTCTAAATTTCAGAGAGAGAGAGAGAGAGAGAGAGAGCACACATCTCTGCAATAAATGCACATTTTCCCATTCTTTTATGCGTTATCACTTTAAAGACCTTGCCAGCACAGAAAAATACATGTGCCTTTTTCTGTACTAAAATCACAAGAACTGCAGTGTCAGACCTGCCCTGTTGTCATTTGTTAAACTACTGAATCCCTAATCCTCTTCTGATGTCCACAACACAGAGAATCTGTAGTCTATGATAAGAAATGGGAGGAGTCCCTGAAAGGAATTGTGCACAGGATACAAGGCCAGGAGCAGACTGACAACACATTGGCCCCCGCGCAGTACAAGATTATGGGGCCCCTTATACTACGCCTATATACAAGCCTCACCCACATATACATTCTTCCACCCCCAGCATCCCTCTCCCTACACCGTTCACCTCTGCACCCCCTGCATCCCTCTTCCTACACTGTGCGCCTCTGTACCCCTGCATCACTCTCCCTACACTGTTCACCTCTGCACCCCCTGCATACATCTTCCTACACTATTCATCTCTGCACCCCTGGATACCTCTTTCTACACTGTTCACCTCTGCACCCCTGCATCCCTCTTCCTACACTGTTCACCTCTGCCCCCCTGCATCTCTCTCCCTACACTGTTCACCTCTGCATCCCTCTTCCTACACTGTTCACCTCTGCACCCCCTGCATACATCTTCCTACACTGTTCACCTCTGTACCCCTGCATCCGTCTCCCTACACTGTTCACCTCTGAACCCCTGCATCCCTCTTTCTACACTGTTTACCTCTGCACCCCTGCATCCCTCTCCCTACACTGTTCACCTCTGCACCCCCTGCATACATCTTCCTACACTATTCATCTCTGCACCCCTGGATACCTCTTTCTACACTGTTCACCTCTGCACCCCTGCATCCCTCTCCCTGCACTGTTCACCTCTGCACCCCTACATCCCTCTTCCTACACTTCTCACCTCTGCACCCCCTGCATACATCTTCCTACACTATTCATCTCTGCACCCCTGGATACCTCTTTCTACACTGTTCATCTCTGCACCCACTGCATTCCTCTTCCTACACTGCTCACATCTGTACCCCTGCATCCTTCTTCCTTCACTGCTCACTGCACCCCCTCTCCTACTCCCTGTTAAGCTGCTCATCCCCTGTAGCTTACCTCATGGAAGGACTCGTGCTCCTGATACCATGGGCTGTGGGCGGTGCAGGGGGTGGAGCCAAATGTACTTAGAGTCACTGGTCCTTCCAGCAGCAGATCAGCACAGCCCAGGAAGCAGACGGGACCCTGATAGGTCTGCGCAGCAGACAGTCCTGCCCACTCCTCATGGTAACAAGCTGATTGACAGGCTCCTCTCCTTCTATGCAGAGGAGCCCGGGTCCCTGTAGGGGAGGAGTCTGCCAATCCACTGGTTACCATGGCAAGTGGCAGGACCATCCTCCGTCACTACAGGGAGCCTCTACTAGGTTCAGGGCCGCCTGCTCACTTGATGGGGCCCAGCCTGGTAAAGGAGGCTGCCTGTTCCCCCCTTGTCAGCGGCACTGGCCAAGAGCCCCCTCCTGTCTGCGGTCCCATGTCCAGTTCCAGAGTGCCCGAATGGTCAGTCCA